TGAGTGTGTTCTGGATAGATAGAGAAAAAGGAAAGGGGGGAGATAGGAAACAGGCCCAAAGGAAGCAGGCAACAGCTGTATTAAGTGAACAGGAAACATTTAGGTAACCAGGCTAATTAAGACAGCTTCACAACACACTTTTGAGGCAGGTGAGGAATAGGAGCCCCAAACAGGAAAGGCTTATGCTGATGAGATGGACAGAATACTTTTTTACAGGTGGGTCATGGGCCTGCTGTGGAAAAAGCTGTTCCTCCCCCCAAATGTACTATTTTAGGCACTAATTGAAGATTCATTCAGGCATGTAAAACGAAATTAAAAAAAAAATGTTTGATGTAGCAGTTTAAGATTTTAAAATGTTGTAGGCCTATCTGAAAGATTAGTGGTGAGCTGAAACTAGAGGAAATGAAGACAGAAAACAAGCTTTTATTTCAAATGACTGGCTTGAAAAAAAATCTCGTTCAGTTCTGGAAACTGTGCTTAATAGTATTTCTTCATTATTGCCATGGGAACAACCAATAGTAGATAAAGAATGTTAATAGATACACAGAATGATAAAGCGTGTTAATCCCTTGGACATATTCTAATTTAGGTAATTACTTTCTGCCCATCTGAATTCCTCGTACAGTTCTAATTGGATACAGTGTATTTCCCTAAAGTGTGGTGGTGTGGTGTTGTGTTTTATTGTGCGCCTGGTAGCTACATGCTGGGTTCCTCTTCAGGGTAGCTGCATTTCAGAGGTTGATGAAGTGACTGTGTAATGCCGACAGACCCTGGTTGTCAGCAGGCAGGATTGAACCTGGGACCTCAGTGCATGAGCCTTTACTGCATGAGCTAAAAGCCAACTGGCTGCTAGCTAAGGCTGTAGAGTAAACTCATTAATCTCTCTCTAAGTGGTCTCCGTGCCACTAGATGGGACAGAACACCACACCCAGGAGGTGTGTGGGTTACACTTGCACTTAAGTCTCTTTTGTTTGGGTACACATCGCTGGTTCCAGGGGTGTTCAGCATGTATGGGATGGAGGGGCTCAGACCAGTAGAAATCTCAAAACAGAAGAGAATGTCTAAGGCCTGGTCTACACTGGGGGGGAGGTGGGCTTGATCTAAGTTACGCAACTTCAGCTACGTGAATTTCTCCTGTGAAGGAACTCTCTGCTGGTGGACAGCTGAGAAAGGCAGGTTTGCTGCCTCCTATGTCAGCCAGTCCCACACCCAGCATAAAATAAAGGAGGGGGCATATGAGGAGCTTTTGGGGGATGGGGGATGGTCAGGACAAGGGGGGGCGTGAACAGGATGGCAGAAGAGAAACTTGCAAATAACTGGCTCTCTGTGGCCATGCAGCATGGCCATAGTGAAGCTGGGCTATAGTATGGTGTGTCTTAATACCAGCATGTGGTAGCTGTTGAATTTGACAGGGTGAGCTCTGTGGTGTCATTCTAACTATTTGAAGAATGACTCACACTCTACCTCCGAGGGCTGGCCGCTTCCCACAGTTCCGGTCCTGAACGCCCCAGTGGGGCATGCCTTTGTAGCTGCAGTATCTGATGGGGGCAGAAGGGCAACATTCCTTCTCCACAGAACAGAGTGTTGCTTCTTAAGGCTCCAGTGCCTTTGAAAGTGGACAGAAAGCACATTGTGACAGAGGGCCCTTTGAACAGAGCCAGATACAGCCCTGACTGACTGAGCATCCCAGTGCTGCACGCTCCCCATTTTCCACTCTGACTGAAAGATCAGTTGTAGATTCCTTCCTGCTGAATGTGACCTGAAAGGCCAAGGTCATAAGCCAGAGCTTTGCATGAGGGCAGACCTTATGGCTTTACATCTGTGTGTGAGAGGCTCCAAGCATCGGTCTAGAAAAGCTTAGTTTCATGACATCAACCAAAGCTAGTGCAAGCTCAAAGGCTGTGCAAACCAGGCCATCACACGTAGCACCCCCTGGACTCCTCACTTATTATGTCATCCATGAACAAGAAGAATACAGCGAGACTAGGGAAGCTGAAGTGCTGAGCTGAAAGGACCCAGCACCACAGTATAAGTAAGTATCAACTGGAGAGAGCAGGCTGCTAACAACTTTAGGGGACTGATGGCCACAACTCTCTGCCTTTGGAGCTTAGAGCAGGCGAGCTGGTGTGGTGCTGCAAACAGGCAGAGGCTGCTTCTGGCAGTTCATGGCTTCAGGGGCAGGCAGGAATCATAGAGTAGGGCAGCCTAGACATGCCTCATACGCGCTTTGAAAATTGGTAGGGCTCTTGCAACAGGATGGGAAACTGCGACACTTACAGGGCATATTGAGCTGCTCGGCAAATGTACAGGGGGGCCACTTACAGACTGCTTTCTAGTTCTTGAGTTATGGTGGGCTCTAACAAACAGTATTTTCAATAGTAAATAAAGGTAACCTTGTTGGAACCAGTAATATCTCTAGACCCACCATGAACTTATTAAGTGCACTCATTGTACTGTATCTAAAATAAAATCATTAGCAGATTAAATTAAAATATTTAAAACATCCAGAACAGAGTCAACTGTGTAGGCTCAGCCTGAGACTCAACCCAGCCTGGGCCAAGAGGGTCAAAAACCAGGTTGTCCAGGTCAAAACAGGATTGTCTGTGCAAAACCAGCTTGGTGGCATTTCTAACTCTGTGTGTCATGTTTTGTATTTGATAACAAAACATTCTATATGGGGCACAGGGAGGAGAGGAATCTTGTTGGTTAAAGCCAGCGAATACATGAAATTCCTCTTGTTGAAAAAGCCTGTTTGTTTGTTTGGCAGAGTCTATCTAATGTCCTTGCTCAGGATAGGACATAAGATTGATTTGGGGGGGGGGCGGGGGGAGAAATACATTCTGCTTAAAACTGGAGTTGGCACAACAAGACAGAGATGGTGTATTCTTAGATTATGCTTCTCACAGGAAAAGACACTGCGGGGATGTACGATTTATTTAAACTGTAGAGGCAAGCAGGTAGGAGGGGAGCTGTGGCAAAGTGTATTCAGGTGCTCTACAGTAAAAGCAGAGAGAGGCGCTTTCAGGATAACAGCATTTCCCTTATGCTAATAGAGTGCCTTTGTCAGTGTTAGTGTAGCTCTTTGTGTGACGCTTTACCATTGTCATGTGACAGGAACATTTCGGGTTCTTTTTTTTTGTTTTTTGCAGCAGACAGCCTCAGGCATCCAAGCCTACACTCTTCCTTTCAGGCTCAGTTACTGCCCTGTTAAGAGTTTGAACTAAGGGAGCTTTTAAGCAAGAAGCAAGGTCAGCCTCAGTGAGGTCTGACAAGCTTTCATCCACCCCACTACCTTTGGGCTACTGTTTGTGCCTTTTAATTCCCTGCCCCACCCTGCACCTGAAAATGAATATACAACATAACTCTTTGGTGAGAGAAGGGTAAGAGAGATCCTCTGAGCACCACAATACAGTCAATTCCTAGTGGGTACTCAACAGCAGCTCACCAGCTCTGGCATACTCCTACCCTCCTTTCTCTCATGACATGGCTACTACTACTGAGCAAGGAAAGCATTGCAAGGACCCTGACTGCATGGAATGGTTTAGTCCAATACTTGCCCTGCAATGGTTTAGCACTTCCACACAGCTACTCTGTCTTGACAACCATCTTGATGTGCCCAGGCACTGCACACTTTACAATTGTACCAGTGCATTCTGGGACTGAGGAACAATCTACACCAATATCTCCAGCACGGTTGCTGGGAGAAGGGGAATTTCCAAATGTAACTATGCTGTGATACAGCGTTCTGAGAATCACCCAAATCAGTGAAGATGAAATGCGTCTGGCTTCCTAAACCCACTGAGAAGAAATTATTGTAACTTTAGCTAGATTTTCAGTTTGCTCCAGGTTTTGCAAAGGACTGTTACAGTCAACACTTCTAAAATATCTAGGGTGGCTGTTGGGTGGTGATCTAAGACATTGATACTAGTGTTACAAAGCTCAAAGCATTCCAAACAGTGATTTCTTGTGATGCATTTTTACCTAGTGTAGACATGGTTTGCGGCTGGTGGACCAAAAATTAAGAGTCCCAAATCTGTCCTTACCTTGGGCCTCCTACTTTTAATCACATTGTCATGATGCATACAAGCACAGAGCATCTTACCAGGAAGCATTTATTAAAGAGAACAAATACAAACTACAAACACAAACAGGCTTCCACTCAGGTTGAGTTCCAGCCTTGTCTCCTTTGTTCACCGGAAACCACAGCCTGCCTGAAATTCTATAGCGCACCCAGCGATATCTAGTTGCTGATTGATACACTACAGTAAATACAACATTACACTCATAGGACTTTTAAATGACACTGTACTGACTTATTTATTTTAAGAGGAAGATTGTTTTAGAAAAAGAAGCTCAATAAATATGTACATTGTATAAATTCAGATTTCACTTAATTTTGTTTCTAGATAAGAAGGGTAATTAGGGGTTTGTTAGAAATGCAGGAAGGTGGGGTTTAAGGCTTGTCTACAGAGGGAAATTGACCGGCACAGCTAGGCCGCAATAGCTTAATCTGTTATAGGTATACTGGTCAATTTCCCCATGTAAAGAAGCCCTAGGGCCTAAGATTTAGCAGAAAAGGTCAGTTATTCGGGGGCAGATGATCTTTGCTAGTTTTATAATTCCTATGGGGGGAAATCCATTGTCATAACTGCAAAAAATTAGGGCTTGTCTACACGACAGGTTAGTGCGTGGCAAGCTTTGGTTTAAATTTACAGCACTCCGGTGTGCCATGTACTGACTGTCTGTGTGAACCTTGCTGCTGCAGCCAGAAACGTTTAGTGCACAGCACCAGTGCCCACACGGACAGTTAGCGCGCAGCCTACTAGAGTGCTATAGATTTACACCTGAGCTTGCTGCACACTAACTCACCATTACAGACATGCCATTCAATTGTGTGAATAGTGAGTAATTGCTTTGAGCTGTGTAAAGTTAAGATCTTTTTCATAACCCCCCCCCAACAAACTACTCAAGGAATGAATGTCCTTCCCCTAGTGACTTACCAGAGTGGGCACTTTGCTGCTTCTGCACAATCACGTGGCTATCTGGAAGGTCTTCCCAGAATGTTTTGGAAGTACTTTGGTCAGGGAATGGACGGACTGAGAGGATTTTGCAGCGATTCCCACAGGAGCTCAGTGAGAGGTTTTCCTGGTACAAAGTAAAGTGGTACATTGTGCCCAAAACAGTCTTACCTGACAAAGAACAGGAAACAGCGGTGCTGGCAAATTTTTAAGGGGAGGGGGATTTGCTGAAAGACATTGAACCAAACTGTAACCCCGCCATCTCCAGTACCCCTAATAGGAAATGGGCTTGTATGTTAAAATGGTGGAAAGAGCATTGGGTTTTAGTTTCACTCTTCCTTGGATTTTCCTTTCTCACTCCATAAGCTCCCAAATTCTTGTCTGCAAGAGGGATTTTGGCTCAGGTAGGACTGGTTTAACCAATACCATGAATGCCTGTCACTTCACATGCATATTTGACACCTCACGTCAAACTGAGTAAGGTATTTGGGCCCAATTCTGCAAGATACTGACCACTCTCAATTCCCATGGATGCAATCAGGTTGTGGCAGGTCCAGCTGTGAAACAAAGTGCTATTTGTAGACTGCCACCAGGTGATGGTACAAGGACGTCTAAGGCTAGGTCTACACTACGGGGGGGGGGGGGGGGGG